GCAATTTCCGAGGTCCGTGAAGCCTACGATGTAGTCTTTTGTCTTGTTGTCTGAGGTGAGGGCTATCGCGGGAATTATTTTGATCCACATTATGGAAATAGCTTTAAGAAAACTTGAGCGGCGAAAGGTGTTCACTGCTGGATAACCCCCTGTTGACGATTTCGGTTTCCTCTTAAGCTCTCGCATTTTGTCTGCCTTCACCTTTCGTAAATGCATTATCTTTCTTCAGGTCAAGAATTGATCCAGGAGCCTACAGGGGATACCACTTTAAAAAAAACGCGTCAAGGACTCTACCTCTTAGGTGACGTGGAAAGAGTATCACTTTAATTATTTGATTTATGAAAAAATAGTCAATACTGGGTCAGAATCTCTCTTATTGAAATAATCATATACCCATTGTTCATTTATGCTTTTGTAGACAATTTTTATGTCATACCTTTTTTTTTCATGTCAATTTGAAAGAAAAGAAATCAAACGACTCGACTGGCATTCAAATGTAAACGCCAGAAATCGCTGAATGGTGGGGACGAAAGGCACATGAGGAGAAGGCGTTATACAGCGCTACGGACGACGTCTGAAGGTACTTGTCCCTTGTTTTGGTGTCGGCGACATCAAAGCTTGGCAATACCTCCCTGTATCATACCTTAACATTTCAGAATTGCGTGTGGTGTCCTCTCTCCCTTGGGGTGAGGTACTACAATGCCCCTGGGATCACTCAAACCCCCTGAACTGAGCCTCTACTTTAGTCAATCCTCTTTGGGTGGACACATGCCCCTGCATTTTGCAGTGCAACCCGAGTGAGATAGAATCAACAAAAAACGAGGATAAGACGACACGAAATAGAACGACACAAACAAAAGGTGAAATCCCCAATGAATCTCCTCTAGTTCTCAGAAAAATCACTTGATTTAACATGTGCCAGTGGTAAACACAATCAGCAATTGAAAATGCAAGAGGACGTGTTTCCAGCAGCTGAAAAAATCCTCTCGGACATTGAGAATGTGTTCCGTAAGGATGTGAACCTGTGAGTATTTTTATTTTTACTGTAGACAAGAAAAAAATTTTTGATTCGCCAGATTGAGGGCGGGGTTTTTTGAAAATTGAGGAGAAAATTCTAGTGGTTAACGTCACGAATTTTCGGGTGACTTTGAGATCATTTTCATTGACTCGAAACATTTTATCCGCGGATTAATTCGAGGGATTAGAATTTCCTTTGGGAGTGATTCATAAACAGTTGCCGAGGGGGTGACGTCTAGTGGGGCTCATTACTGATCAGTTACCGGTAATTTGGTCATTGCGATCTCTGAGGGTACGCTAACAGAATGCTTGATCGTTTATTTTCATTCTTTTCTTATAAATAGAAAAATTGCATTTCTTGTTACTACAGTGGAAATTTACGTGAAAATTTTATTTTATTTTGAGCTATTTATGGTTTGAACACTACCTTTATCTATACTTTATGTGCCCTTTCTGGTAACTCATTATCGCATCGATTGCACACAAAGTCAATGAAAATTCATAATCTTCTTTGCAATTTTATCCTATCCTACAAAATGACACCTGAAATGTCAAATAAAAAAATTAGCAATTCCTAACAATTCCTCATTTAGGAATCATTTAATTTCTTAAATATTCTGACAATTCTCAATTTTCAAGTGGATATGACACTGAAAACCAGTAAAATGTTGAAAATTCATGCATTAATTTCCCTAAATTGTCAATTTATTCAAAATTAAATTGTATTTAACTTTGAATTTCCACGATGGCCACAAAAATTGAAGAATTCTACAAGAAATCAATTACTATTTACCATAAAAAACGTAATTTTCTGGAATTTCTAAGAGAACTGAAAATTCTAGTGACCATTTGCAATGGACTCGTTTCAAATTGACTTCAAACTCACATAATTAAACATTCAGATGTCTTTGTCACTGGAATTCCAAGAAATGTTTAACAATGTACCTCTTGAAATTTAAATCGATTGGCATCTTGTTCACAGTCAGAGTTTCGAGATAATTCCATCACCGGACTCTGAGAACCGTTCTCCAGTGTACCACGACGAGAACTCCCTGGGTCTAGCCTCATGGTGTGTCCATCCCTTGTACACATATGCCTACACCCGCCTGATGGACCTCCGCCCAAACAAAATCCGTCGAGAGGATCCCATCGTGGTTTCCAGATGGCTGATGGGTGCCCTGCTCATCAACCCTGACGTCCCCACCTTCTGGAACATGCGTCGAGATCTGGTGAAAAGCGGTCGTCTAGATCCCCTGGATGAACTCCGTTTTACCAGAGTTGTCCTCTACCACAAAGCCAAATGCTTCGAAGCCTTTTCCTATCGACGCTGGCTAGTGCAATTCACGCTCGTCGAGCAAGAGAATCCAAGCGTCGACGTGGAGTCCCTCCTGAGGACTGAGATGACAGTATCAGGAACATCAGCTGATCGTTACGCCAACAATTATCACGCCTGGAGTCATCGACAGCAGATGATATCAACGTACGAGGCACTTTGCCCTTCAAGTTTAGGTTCTCTACTTGTTTCCGAGTGGGAGGCCTCTGGTAAGTGGTGCAGTTGTCACGTTTCAGATCACTCAGGGCTCTCCTACCGTCAGTTTCTTCTGAAGCGACTGCTTCTCCTGGAGAGACAGTCTGCAGAGACGAGACTCGTAGTTGTCCCTGAGGAATTAGCAAGACGTAGGAATACTATCCTGGATTTTGCGAAGGAAGCTACAGGCTTTGATGATGTCTTCTTGATGTGCGACGATTCTGCGGAGGTCCTGGAGATCATTCATGGTTGTGGTAAAGGGAGAAGGAGTGGAATTGATTATGACAGGGTTTTGATGGGGCTGTCCTACTGGGTGGAGGACTGCACACTCAATGAGGAGTTGATTGAAGCATTCCCTGGGCATGAGGCCCTTTGGTATCATCGGAGATTTCTAGCTTTTTCCTTGAGGGAAATCTGTTGGGGATACTCCAAGGACTCATGTTATGGGCCCCAGTGCTTTCAGCCAAGAGACTCTATCAGGCTGGATGGTGATGGAGGGGATAGCAGGAACTGTCTTCTCGAGGTGGCGTTCGAGAGGAGAAATCAGGCGATTGTGGAGAGGGCGAGAAAACAGCGCCAGGGGGATGTCGTCGAGAAGTTTGTTAAATTCCTGGTGGGTACTGGACTCAGGCTGGAATCTTGAGGGGGAGGCAGAGAGCTAGAGGGGAGATGTATTTTTAAATAAACGTTCTTAGAAAAGAGAATGAATTTCGGCTTTTTCTTGGGGTCTTATAAAGGATTACAGGGTTGGAGATTTGATGGGAGAACATTTTTTTTTTTTTACAGAAATTGCTTGTAGGTCAATTATTATGTAATAAGGTTTATTAGGAAAAGAATTGTATTTATGTTTTGAATTTAGTTGATTAATTTTGGTAGGAAATCGAGTTGGGAAATTTTCGTGAAACCTCCAAAAAAGTTTAATTTTTACCGTTCAGGTACATCTCTTTTTTACTTTCATCCATTGAAAGGACGAATTGATATATCTGTGTGGTCCGAAAGAAAAACCCTTTGAAAAGTTCTTGGAAAAATAAAAAACTAATTCTCGTTAGACTCATTCAGTTTTTGGCGAATATCTACGATTCTAAGATAGATAACAAAATTTATAATAGGACTTTTATTGTAGCTCTCCTTCCGCTTACCAAAAAAGATTCTAGCAACAATTTTTATATCCGCCTTACATTCATAGATATTCCCAAAATCCTGGATTGAGGGCTTATTACCACTTTGTTCCTAAACTTATAACTCTTTTTAAATATTAAAAATTTCAGGGATTACGAAATTATCATAATAAACAATATTTATATAACTGATTGACCTATTCCTCTTTTATTCCAACTTGGAGTTTTCAAATAATTTGGAGAGATAATGAAGAATTGAATAATTACAATTGGAGATTTCAATTGATAAATTTTTGTTTTCAAGTAGTCGGTAAAACAGAATGATTGCTATACTATAAATAATGACATTTCTTCACTCTCGACTAGTATGTCTCCGAGCCAAATCGATTCGTTGACATCGCGCAAACATACTTAGCTATTTTTAGATGGATGATAAAAAATTAAAAAAAAAGGATTCTTACATGAGTGCCACTTCTTGTAGTTATTCTTACGAAGAAGCCACGCGTGGGTTAATCCTCATCAGTAAGTTTCAAGTTATGTAGACGTTATGACAGTTACTACTGCTAAATAAAATAGTCATGTGTTGATATAAGTCCCCAGGCCTTGATCCAGCTGATAGGAAAATCGATTGTGGATTATTAATCAATCTGATTAATTGACGTTTGTCATGGCTCGTGATATTTGGACAACAAGAGTGATTGACAGAAGGAACGCAATTTCATTCTAGTTCTCATTATTGTGGATGATGTGAAATAGTGGGAGATAAAATATTTGAAATATCTCCGGAGAGAAAATATTGATGAGTATTTTGGGTAAGTAGATTTGGAATATATTGTTTGAAAATAAATATTTATATGTTCGGCATTTCGAATGAGGGGAATTTGAATTTTTGACAGTTGCGAATGTGAAGGCTATTTTTTTTAGAACTTTTCTCATTTTTTCTGTTGAACTAATCGGTGAACTTCTGGAATATTTAAGTAATTATCGATTTTGAAGTTTGTTTAGCATTGAAAAAGCCTGAAATATAGAGAATTCAGAATTGAATAGAATTGATCTGAATATTTATGTATCGAGTACTGAATTATGATATTTCATTTTCAGGATGACTCTGAAAATTCAAACATCTCACAAATCTTCAAAATTATTGGAAATTTAGGGGAATAATTATTTAAAAGTTGATTGAAATCGAATTTAAACTCACTCACATTGAAAATTGTTGTAAAATCGTAATTGTTGTTATAAATCGAATTATTAATTAATTTTAATCAAATAATTAAGTGGGGATTATAAAAAAATCTTAAGAGGACTTGAGGGAAGTTTTAAAAATTCCCAAGCAGTGATAGACGAAACGAAACGAGAATAAGCTTTATAAATTCCGAAGTTATTGATCGAAGAGACTATTTGCTATCTATCTTTCACCTCAATTTTTCTTTGAAATGATTTATTGGAAGTCCAAGTAAAATTCCTGATGTATTGGTTTCTCGATTCGATTTCATTGAACGATCTTGCGTACGCAATGAAGAAGAAATACCCCAAGAAGAAAATACACAGACGAAGCGACTTCATGTTTCGCTGAAAGTTCAAAATTTCCTCTTTTTAAAGTGACAAGTTCGAGAGATGTAAAAGAAAAATCTCCACAAGTTTCATAACAATTTCCAGGTCTTCCTTCCGTTATGGGCTTCTCGGAGAAAAGGAAAGACTTGATCGAAAGTTTTTAATTTCCAATTGTCAAATGAATTGTCATTCAAACGAACAACAAATCTATCAATACACAATAATTATAACAATAAAAAACGGTAATAGGGCAATATAATTACTCTTATTCCAAATTTTTTTGATCCTTTAATTTTTGTCTTATTTGAGGTATAAATTGTAGTCAGTACTACCTTAGTGTTGGAACACCTACGTTTTTACCGTTGAATTTAAATTAGTTCAAGTTACCTCATTTTTTAAAATGGATGCTGTAATGTGTGTGGATGTACGAGACTTCTCGCTCCACCTCCCTTCTAGAGGTATAAATTTAAGGAGTTATATTGCATGTTTTTTTATTTCTAAAATTCAAAACACTGATATGATTTATACGAAGTCATACCAGCACTCGGCGTTACCCAGGGTTCGCGACGGGGACGCGAGTGGTATGAACCCTACAAAAGGTCAACTTACAACGACTCAATATTTTTCTTGCATTAGATTTTTATAGCGATTAAACTGAATAATAGCTCAGAAAAATTTGGAAATTAGATGGAGTAGTTATACATTCTCATTACCAAAAAAAAAACCAAAAATGATAGAATAACTCTAAACAAATCCACCAAAAATCTTTTTATGTGGTAAAGTACAAATAAAAAAAAAGAGATATAAATAAAAGGGATAAAAAAATTAATATACTCTAGAAGAGTGGCGATGAATCATAAAATTCGTTTTTTAAGTGTGAGTTCACTGCATCTTCCCAGAATTCGTGTCAATAAAATCGTAGGAAGCGATGAGTCAAAAAAAATTCGCGGATATCTTCTCATAAAATTGCGTCAGACTGTAGTGCCCGAGGTCGTGTTATGAACGGTGAGTTACGTTGCATTCGGTGATAAACACCCACACGTACGAATACTTGGCATAAACAAAAGCAAAAAAGCCCATGACGTGGGTTCGAATGGAATTGAATTGATTGATAAATCAAAAAAGTATTGGGACACAAGCTATATGACAATTAACATAAGAATGCTATTTTCTGCATATTTTTTTCTTGTTTTAATTTTTAATGGGAAAAACAATTAATTGCTTCCACTCCACCTGAGCTTTTTCCATCATTTGAAACGCGCGGGGATTAGTCAAAAGTCAATAGTTTTTCTTTAAAAAATCGATATTTAATTTTTTTCCGCTCGAAAAAGCTCGAAAAAGCTCGAAAAAAGCTCGCGATCGTTTTTATTGAAATAAAGATTGTGTATTTATTCATGAGATGTGTTTCCATCGGATGAAGAAATGAGACGATTGTTGTGTATGAATGTCGCGGATAGATTTAAACTGATATCTTTTATCGGAGAGCGTGCGGCTTCAATCTACTTATATTTATACTTTCATTAGTCGAAGGTGCTAGAATTGTTATATAATTAGGGTACATCTATAATTATTTGCCTCGGTTTCCCACTCAAAAATAATATATATAATATAATAAATAAATAAAAAATATCACCCGGAAAATACAGAAAAAATCGGTATTATGACCTACCCCAAGAAAAATTGATAGATTTATCAGATAGGGTTATAGGATTATCGTCTAATGCCGCAAAAACAATTAGTAATTACCCCGCATATTTTTAGTGGAAGTGGAAATGTACTGGACTCAAACATATTTTTTTTCACATTTATGGATCAGATCGGCGTTGTTGGCACTGGGGAGAATTCCGATGGAGGGATCGAGGAAATTGAAAAAAAGGGAATTGAGCGAATCTGCACCGAATCTAGATATTGGAGGCACTGGAGGGTTTCATGGGAGTGAAATGCCACCTGATGAGGATGAAGGACGTGAAACTGACGGTCTCAAAAGGGGACACAGCCTTAGGCTGCCCCCAGCTAATGGTGAGTTAAACAAAATTATTTAACAAAATTATTCAACAGAATTATTCAACTAACTTTCTCAAACAAAGACTTAATTGCCAAATTCGAACAAATTGCAAATTCAAATTACGCCCATGATTTTTTTCATATAAAGAAAATTGAATTCTTTATTATCTGTATATTCTAATTATTGATATTGATTTGGACTAGATATTCACGTCAGTTATAATAATTTATTAAAAATTTGAATGCTTTGAATTAAGTCCTCTGCATGTGCCTGATTTGATCTGAGATGGCAGAATAATTTTAAAATATGGAACAATCTTGAAATCCCTTGATTGCATTAATTTTCGTAATGATTGAAGTGAAGTAAAAAATTAAATTAGTGGAAATGAGAAAGAGAAAGAGATGTCCAATCGACGATTGTAGCATGAAAATATTATTTTCTCACAGGAGTTATTAATTGAAAGTTTGAGATAAGATTAAATTTTCCTCAATATCTCCGAGAGTAATACGAAAAATAATAACTATTTCCAATTCTTGATGTAATTACAACTACAACTCAAATGTTAATGTAATTTTGATATTAATTATTACAAATGAAATAAAAATAGCAATTTAACACCGAGAGATGGGGCAAAACAAATATCAAAATTTTACTATTTTTTACATAATTGCGGAGTGATTTTGCAGTTTTTACTCTTTTACTCCTCAGAAATCTCTCACGCACAATTAATTGTTCACTGGATAAAGTTAAAAGTTGTCATTATTGAAAAAATCATTGAAAATTATTGCAAAATCGAATTACACAATTCCTTGCAATGCCTTTAAACTTTGTTATTAAAAAAACAGTTAGTTTTTACTACAATTTTCTGGGTCACGGGAAAAAGTTTATTAGACTTGACTCCTACCTGCTCTGCACTCTGGTACATTGCCAGTGCTGCAGTGCGGAAACTGTATAAATGTACCTGAAAAAAGCCGAGGGAAATCCTCCGACATTCAAATAAAACAAAAATAGTGGAAAAAAAGCCCACGGGTTCATTCAGGGATGAGCCCTTGAATTATTCATAGTTATTGCAAATTATTTTATTGCTCTTCCGCGAGGAGGTTTACAGTTCTATAAAACTTTCCGGATTCTGAGAATTGATGTACGACTTCCTACTGCTTGGATTTCTCTATTTTCCTCTATTTCCCCGATCTTTCTCTCTTTTCCCTAAATTGACAGATAAAAGAAACGAGAATAAAGGGTTCAGATGGAAATTAAAAATTCTCTCTTCTGGCTTTCATTCATAAAATTACACAAAATCAGTGACTAAAAAACGTTAAAAAGAGATTTACTCTTCCCAGTGGCTCGTTTTTATTTTTAGTTTCTTCATCATCCATTATCGGCTCGAAAAATCCATAATCTGTGCCAAAAAAATGTCAAGGGGCAAAACGATAAAATCTATCACGTGGTGTGTCTCGCCGTTGTCTGCGGCCAAAAAGTTTTATTACGTTTCCAGAATTCGATAAAAGAACTCATTGTTATAGAAATTGAAGTGAAGAGTTAATTTAAGAGAAAAGTTTAATATTAATTATTTAAATTATTAATTCCCTTAGCCTTGGAATTTTTTTATCTTTCATTGCGGAGTTCGGTTGCAGTGGAAAAATCACAAATTGTTTTTTTATAATTTTTCCCTCGAGTGCTCTCCACTCAATTAGGGATAATGTCAATTCTTGTAATTTCCGGATGCAAACACATTTTTATCTCTCCTTGGATAAATTTCCCTGCAATTTGTCCCCATCACCATGTAATTTCGTCTCCATTCTATTTTTTGGAACAATAACGCGTAATTACTATCATAAATTGTTCTCCCAAGACAATCCCGAGATCAAATCACGCATGACGTGAATTGGATCAATTGTTTGTTTCCAATTCCTCTTTACTCTCCAGGTTGTCCTGTTTATTCAACTGTCAATTAACAAATATAAATAAAAAATCAGGAGAATTGAAAATACATAAATTCAAGTATATTGTACATTATTAAAAATTGTAGAACTACAATTATAAAAAATTTTATCAAAGAGTTAAGATGAAATTTTTGCAGACTTTTTCATTTTCCAATCAGTTAAGTTTTTGATTATTTAAATAGTTCTCTATTTTTAATTCCTATAAATTTTTACTCTATAGAAAATTCAATTGTATTTTATTATCAATTTTCGTTTTATTTGAAATTTCATTGAAAGTCTGTTATAAATTCAATTATCGATAGAAAATCAATTTTCATGAACTTTTAAGAGTGATAAATTTAGTGAAGAGCTTCCAATTCAAATTGAATTGGAAAATTGAGAAAGATGATTCCAATTAATTCGGAAACCATTGAATATCAAATAAATTATTGCCTTCATGGAATATGAGGAAAATTCAAATAAATTTCTGACAGTGTAGTGGGAGTGATGGGTTCATCACTGATGATTTCTCTGGGACGTAATAAAAAAATCACTGAGAGTGCGTGACCTGGTGCCAAGAAACGTGGGACATTAAAGCCCATGAGCTTTTCCCTTCGGTCAGTGACTAGACGGATGTTATCGTGCGCTGATTACCCGGATTTTGGAAATTTTAGCTATAATTAATTAGTGCATGCTTCATGGGTATACGAAATTGTGATCAAGGTAAAAATGGGACTTCCGAGCAAAACGAGACACTGGGGTAGAATGGGACACTCGTGGAGAAGAGATTTTAACTCATTCCCTGCAATTTTTATTTTTTAAAAATATTAGGGACAGTCTAAAAGTGTCCCCGTCTTCTTTGCGAATTTGATTTATTCTTTTAATTATACTGTTGTTTTCTTATTTCTTTGATTTTGCAACATTCTCTAATAATTTTGCTTATTATCGTGAAATTCTTTATATGAAAATTGAACATTTTTGTTGGAATATTTGAATATTTACAGATCCTCCATTGTTGTATAAAAACAACTCGAGAAAGATTTATGCCATACTGGGAAAATAGTCACAGAAAAGGGACCAGTTTACTATCATTTCATTTTTAATTTTCTAGAACGGTTTAATGCTAAAATTATGTTGAAATTTGAAAAAGGATTATTCTCTTCTGTCATAAACCTTAACTTTTATTCTTGTTTTTTATTTAGAATTTTTGCCTTTATGGTCAATCTCAGTCTCTTGACAACTCTTTTTCAATTTTTTTATCAAAATCAAGTGTAATAAAATTTTGAAAAAAACTGGAATATTGAATAATTTTTAGGATTCTTACGGTGGAGTATTTCCCTCGCGTCCCATTTTACCCGGGTCACCCCTACCCCCCAGTATTCAATTTCTATTGCAATTGGAGGAATGATTCAATTCAATAAAACCGTAAACTCTCGTTTGACAATTCCCCCCCCCCCCCCCAATCTTTCTTAACCCAATTGAATGACCTTGAACTACTTTATCGGTGTCTGGTCCTTGAAAAAAAGAGGATCCCGGTGGGCCACTCCGTCGAGGCGGTTCACTAAATTTTCGTCAGGCTCGAATCGATGGGAAGAACTTGTGTGTACCAGTGGATATCCTGAAGAGAACACAAAATGACAGAACCCTGACATCCGGTCTGCCTCCAGCCAGGACCCCATCACCTGCTCCAACACCACCTGCCCCTGAACATCTAGCTGTCAATTTACTCCAGCTCGGATGTCCCCTCGTTTCCATGCCCAGGTGAGTCTTTCCTTTACACTCAGATAAAAATCTCAACAAATTACCAGAAAATTAACGGCAAATTGAAATTTCAAACTGCAATCCACTTCCTGCTCGTACTTTATGGTACGTGGCAAAAGCATGGAATTGTTGTTAGACAAATTATTTATAAAAATTGTTGAAACGCGATTACATACATCCAAAAAAAAAATGCATGTTTCGGTTTAAAAAAAATACTTTCTATGGTTTTCAATTTTTCTATCAAATTTATAATATATATGAAATATATACGTAATTCAATTTAAATTTAATATTTTATATATATTATTATTACTTATTTATTCTCTTCACATATATTTATATATAGTATATACAACATATATATATTATATGATATTTAATTTATTTGAAAAATCTCTTGTTGTATTTAGTACCTTAGTAAAATGAAAAAGTGACACAAAATGTTACGTGAGTTTTTTAATTAAGAAACTCTTGTTTTCGTATTTTTTATTTTCAATATTCTCAAAAAATACGCCATCGAATTTATTAATTAAATCCACCATAATTACGCAAATTGAACGCTAAATATTGAGCAAAGCTTCAATTAACAAAAGTTGAAAAAAAATCAACATAATCCTGCAAAACTTGAAATTGTAATATTTAGGGCAGTAAATTATCATACAAGACCGCTGAGATCTACACTGAGAAAAAAAATTTCTTCAGCCAATAATATTTACTGACTACAAGAAAATTTATTTATTATTATATTATTCTAGCATTAGCAAGTCTTATGGGAGTATTTACACAGTGATTGCCAGATTCACTGGTGATTATTAAATATTATTGGCTAAAGGAAATTTTTTTTCTCAGTGTACCATAAAATTTTCAAAATTTCAAATTTCGACCGCCGACTTGTAAATTTACTTTATATTCCATGGACTTTCAATTATCTGGGCAATTCCCTAATAGTCTAATGTGTGGCTACACTATTTAGTCAGTTCATTAAATTAATTAATTACATAATTAATTAAATTTTTATTTTAATTTACATTTATATTCATTAAATTCAACATCTTCAGGAAAGATAATCGATCTTCATACGCAAAACTGAAATCCATTATTAAATTGTCAATTCGGACGATCCGAATTTGGAATGAACTTTCTGTTTTTTTAATTTTGAATTCAACAGTGTAATGTGGTATATCTAAAGATCATGTCCTCCATGGAGATGCGTGCAATACACCTCCACCCCAATGTGCTGCTACGATATTCGGTCAATAGGTGATGACCGGGGCGCAGACGCGAGTGCACATACAATCCTTATCCAAGTGTTAGTTTCTACAACATGTACATTAGAACGAGACAAATCTCTATGATAAAGTGAGAGAAGCAACTCTCTTGAATGCCGAGAGTCTGTCCACAGGCCAGAGGCATTCCACAGTTCGGTTCGATTTAACGTAATTTTTTCGGATAAAAAAAAAAAACATTCCCCACAATTGAAATTCAAAAATTCAACCTCAAACCGCATAAAATAATATCGTGGGGCAGGTAAAAATGTGAAGGTGATTCTGGTTGATTTTTCTAGTAGAATGAGGGATCAGGAGTGAAAAATATTTTTTATTAAAAAAGAGAAAAATTCGGAATTGCTTTATTTCCATTTTTTTTTTTTGACCTTGATAAGTTCTGTATCTTGACTTCCGGTTGTCTTCCTGTCTCTTGTGTCATTGGGTCGTTAATGAAGTTCTCAGTCTAGAGTGGGGGAAGGATTTAATGGGGAAGAATTTATTTGTCTCGATGAATATCGAATGATGATTGTGTCCTGAGATTTTGACTGTTGATAACAGAGGATTTTGGGAATAGGGGACAAGTGTTTGGATTTTATTGCGGTATTTATGTGCCTGCTGTGAGCAGAGAATTGAGGCAGGACAGTGGCGCCCCTGTACTGGACTGCCAATTACGATAACGCCACCCACCGCAGGTGATTTTATCATCTTTAACAAATAAATAAATAAATTGATTTTTCACAGCAAGGATATAATCATTCTATAAGAAAAATGTCACATGTTCCCTGTCAATGAAAAAATGACATGTCATGGAATTATTTTGTTGATATGTCGCGACAAACCGAAATTTCATTTCTATTGCCACTTTTATTGCATAAAAAATTGTTCAAAAATATTGTTGGAATATCTACGACGGAATTGCATGACCACTCCATTTTTCGTTGCAATAAAAGGATTAATTAATTAGTTAAGAATTAATAAAGTGAGAAGTCGGAAGATTAACACTCATTGATTGAGTCTATTTGGATAGGCTTGAGAGAGAACAATATTGCACATTTAAAAATAATAATTTTTTATTTATTCAATGGAGTGGTGACAACAGTGATTTTTTTCTTAATTGTACTATCTATTTTGCTTTGACTGGAGATTTATCTGTAACAGAATCTGGTGTGGCTGCAGATTTATCTGTAACAACAGATTCTACTGCGGCTGCAGATTTATCTGTAACAACAGATTCTGCTGCGGCTGCAGATTTATCTGCAACCACAGGTTCTGGGGTGACTACAGATTTCTCCGTAACAACGGGTGCTGGTGTGGCTGCAGATTTATCTGTAACCGCGGGTTCTACTGTGACTGCAGATTTCTCCGTGACAACAGGTCCTGCTGCGGCTGCAGATTTATCCGTAACAGCAGATTCTGCTGCGGCTGCAGATTTATCTGTAACAACAGGTTCTGCTGCGGCTGCAGATTTATCTGTAACAGCAGATTCTGCTGCGGCTGCAGATTTATCTGTAACAGCAGGTTCAGCCGTGACTGTAGATTTCTCCGTGACAACGGATTCTCCTGTGGCTGCAGATTTCTCAGTGACGACAGATTTTTGAGTAACTGCAGGTACCTCAGGTACGATAGGTTTCACAGTTGCTACAGACTTCTCTGTAACAACAATTTCCTCTGGGGCCTTAGATTTCTCTGTGGCTGCTGGTGCAATGGTGGTTGTAGATATCACAGCTGAACCAGCGATACACCGCTTCGCACCAATATTAATTGCTCGTAACTTCTGTTTGAATTCAATCAACAATGGATTTACGCATTTTGGAATTTTCTTATCGGCGGTATACGTCAGTCTTTCGTCTGTTCTGTGCGCTCTTCCCACTCGGCTTTTCCAAGTTATAACAGAAAGCTTGACTCGTGGTATACGCACAGAAAGACACAATTGTCTAGACGGTTTCTCTTCACATATCTCGAGGATTTCATTCAGATTTTCCTGTAACTCCTTGCCTTTCTGGAAACAAAAATGATGTGCGTCGATCAAGTACTGTATGCGTAATTGCACTTCTTGTTTTGAATCATCTAATCTAGTCTGTTAAATCCAATCAAAATAATACACACAGCATCCACTGTGCATTCGTTTATTCAAATTAATTACTCACGGTATGTAACTGATTGATCTCGTCTTCCAGGTATTTAAAATCAAACACATATTTGCGGAAGCATCGATCGATTTTCGAGATCTGCTTTGCCAAAGAAGACTTTAATGTTTCATCTAAAGACCTACGACATTTGTCCACGTCTTTTCCGGCTGCTGCAGCTGCTGTAAAATCTTCCTAACGTGACAAGTGAATATACACATTAATATTTATACTGTAGTTCCCAAATGGTCTTTTCCTTAAAACTTACTGCAACCGGTTGGTTTTGGTATTCAATACTGGCAGATGCATTTGATTTCAGATTATCGTGATAATCTGTAAAGATCCGATAGGTATTGTCTAGCTGAGCAGTACTGTATTCATCTAGAGATATTTCAGTTTCATTAATAGTATCCTTTACCCAGTCCACCATTCTGTCAATCACCGCATCGGTCTAAAATTTTAAATAGAAACCAGAAAGGATCAGGAAAGAAAAATTCAACAGTAAAAAATCGAAAAGTAACTCACCTGGCTGATGGAAAAAGCTGCGAAAGCAGCGAGCAGTACATAGAACTGCATTTTATCGTTGATAATGATCATTGATAATTTTGGAGATTCTTATATAGAAAGTCTTCACCCCACTTTCTTCGTTCTAAGTACACAATTTAATGGAGATCATGCTGATAATTATATTAATTACGAGACCCATCAAAAGTTTAATGAGACAAAAAATGAAATGTCAACAGTCAGGGCATGTGGAATATTTCTCCGAGGTAATATTAATCTTGGATAGTCATTTCACCTCTAAATTCATCTATTTATTATTTCTCTCCTTCTTTCGTCGGTATAAAGAAGGGGTCGAGATAATACCACATGCTCGTGAAATTGGGTTAATTTAATTTGACGATGATAACATTTCTCCACTAATATTTGACTGTGGCTTGTCGATCATGACGTTGTACTAATAGAAATTATATATCTCCACGGATTTCAGGGAATGGAGATTTTATGACTGCGTAGATGAAGCTACTGATCAATTAATTATATAATTCTAATCAAATGATTGAACGAATGAATTCTATCAATTGGTGAAATCTTTTAATTAAAAAGGTACGCGATTTATTACTTTTATTCGCGAGTTCTTTATTTGAGAGTGATTAAGTATTCATGAGTTTTATCAACGTTAATAGTCCAAGATAATGGGGTGATAACGATTTTGCATATTTCTTTCGTCTCTGAATCTGTCAGTTTCGGTTGATGACTGATCATTGTCCTTTGTCTTCGCCACTCCGACACTCAAGACCATCACAAACTTTTTTCTTCAAATTTTCTAGTCTCCAGGTAAATGTTAATGATTCATTAGAAATTTTCTAATTATATTAGAAAATTTCTAATATAATTAGGTCTTTATATTTCTAATCTTTCGGTTCTCACTCCGATTTCGTTGATTTTACAGATCGGCAGAATTAACAATTTACATTAACATTATATTACTATGAACATCAGTAAAGAGTACACTGAGAGAAATATTCAATAAAAATTACGTGTATTTTCCGTAATTCTGGAGCGAAATGTGGTTGTCGGAAATTTTACGGAACTGTCACGTAATTTTTATCTAAAGTCACGGAATTTTTCCGCGGTGTTCCGTAATTTTTATCTGAATTATCGGTGAAAAATAACGATACCGTCACTTAAATTTTTCGAATCAACTCCGTAATCGGTAAGTGAACTGAAAGTTCCGTAATTTTTACTAAATATTTCTCTCCGTGTAGATAGAATAATTAATTGAATCAATACAAATAATAATTCACACGGAAATATATAATAAATTTATTAGAAACAGAAATAATGCACTTTCTGTCGATGACCGATTAATCAGTGACTGATTAATGAATGATCGATCGATATTTGATCAATCATCGCTGATTTGGTAGCGACCAATTGACTGCACCTTATGGTCAAGTGATCCATTAGAAGTGATGTACTAAAATTAAATAAGTTGACGGTTCAATCTCATTGTTCTCAATGAAGAATAAAATTCATTCACAAAAGATAAAGATCCGTCTTAATGAAAATTCACTGACACCAATAGTACTGTCTGCAATAAATAAATAAGAATAATAGTAATAATAATAATAAGTCAGAATTTTATTTGAACTTTTTTTAATTGAACTTCTCCTTTTACATTTTATCCAGATCTAAATTATGAATTGAATCTTTGCACAAATAATTTAATACAATTCACGAATACTTTAATGAAATTTCCTGGTGAATTATTTCCACCTGTTGTTTCGCTAAATTCATCAATATCATTGTGGAAAAATGACAGAATGACTTGTTGTTTCCACAATGATGAGTCATCAGACGACTGGTCAATTTTGACGAAACGAATCGTAGAATTTACGTGACGATTCGTGCGATTCCAGTTCCGTCTCACACTCTTTATTGAATCTTCCCTCGCTCATTGATTACATTCCGAAACGTAATTTCTATTTTTTTGCTGGTGATTCTTATTGAATCATTTATCTCTCCATGTACATCTTATAATGAATGGTTTCTGGTGTTATTATTTTTTATTTCCAATCGGCCAATTTTGCAATAGATGAACGATCTGTTTTCTTCAGATTATGAATTTTTTCATTAACATCAACTCAAATGACGTTTGATTTGATGGATTGATTACAAAGTTGGCACTGACGTTATATTTCATAAAAAGTTGGATCATTTGCACATTGATGCTGTAGACTGAAGTAATAATCTTCTGCATGAAATCCCCAAGAATGCATCAGAGCGAATAACTAGAGTGAATTAACGTCCAATTATCTTCAGCAATTAATCTAGTCGACATTACAAAAATCATGAGTTTTTGTTCAATATAATAACTTCAGTATAAATCGAGCTTTATACTATTAAATAATATATTAAATAACTTTTCTTGAATTTTATAGAAATTCAATGCACTACAGTAAAATTCTTCAGGTTTTATTGCTTGTTAAATAAATTTAAAAATTTTAAAAAGTGAACAAATTAAAATTCTTCGTGTCCAATAATTCAGATTCGTATGAAAAGGATTGATAAAAAGTTCTTTTAATAAACAATAAATTTTGGTAACAATATATTCGGAGATTTAACATTTAAGAGAGACGACTGCCAATAAAAAAGTTTTTGGCCCACGAAAATCGCGTGCTATTGGAAGAATTCTTTGGGGATATGAAATTCACAATTTTTTTAATTGCCAAGAGAATGTTCCTGATGTGAAGTGGTAAACTACGATAAGTCCATTTTTTTCGATGCCAGTTTTCAGCCGATCCCTCGAAATTGAAGAGACATGGCGATTTTTTCATGAATACCTTTTTTGTCGCTCTCATTTTTTTCTACAAAAAATATTTCTGCAAAAAATTCGTCATGTGCCTTCAATTCCGAGATATTAGTTGAAAACTGGCCCCGAGAACAATCCTCTTATTCTAGTTTAACACTTCACTACTGACCTCTTAAAATTTCTCAAAAAAACTGAAATTCAGATTTGAAATGAATCCTCTCACACAATGACAATTACTCATGACAATATTATATACTATGTGCAAAACGCATAATCCCTTCAATTCCAGCTCACATACTATTCTATATTTTAATCTCAAGCTTTAATTAATATTCTCTAATTGCTTTATGCTTTAATTTTAATATCTTGTCTGTTTGTAGCTGAAGGGGCCCAAAAATCGGGTCCAGAAGCTTATTAAAAAAAACAAAGGTACCGATTTTTATTTTTGAGTGAAGCCTCCTGTGAAAGGAACTTCCTCCTCTCAGTGTATCTCACGTATTGAAAAGGTGTTTACACACACTAAACAGCTGATCAGTGACTTCCTCCAGCTGTTGCTGGGTATATCCCCTCCATCTTATCAGGAGGTCCACAAGTGCACGGTGTTTTTATATTTACAACCAGAACCACCGGTTTGCTCAGTGTATCTCCAACGTTCAAGTGCATTCCTCGTAATATTTTCTATTATTCACGTAATTCGAGGGGTTCTAAGGCTTCTGGTGACCTGGAGGCACCTGCGTGGAGTATTGATGTAGTGAAGCCTTCAGTGGAGATATTACAGGGTCTCCATTGTCCCTGGATACTTTATTCTCTGCGGAAAAATCAGCCGAGTAATTGAGTCAGGCTGTGGTGCTCTGGAGGTGCTGTGTTAATTCTTTCGTTCTGGAATTTTCTGATTGACATTTTCTCGGGATGATCGCTGCTAGGCAATTGCTCAGTGCGCCTGACGTTTCTAAAATGTAAATACAAATCAATCATCAAATATTTATGGAAGATTCCCAAGCAGATGTGGACCGGAAGTCCAATTTAAGAATCAATAGAGTTAGCAATTACCAAATTGCCTGTTTTCATTCATCGTCTGGGGTTTGCGTTTTGTGAAGTAATTTTAGTATGGATAAATTATTTGCAATCATCATTTTTTTTTTTCAACTGGCTCAGCAATTTTCGAGGACAATCACTTTTCTTTTTTTTTTTTTGGTTTTTGATCAATCGTTTCAATAACCAATCTGTATATAAATATTCAGACTAATTTGATGTGTCAATTTGAATTTTACAGAATAATTTTGAAAGTTTGTTATTTAATTATAAACGTTTTAGAATTTTCTTCGTCATGTTCTGCAAGGCTTTTGTATTCAATTAACTAAATAATTATTTCAATTATTTCAATGGAATTAATTAATTAATTCAATTTTCATACTAATACGAATATTTATTGTTCAACCAGTTAATTACTCTTCTGAAATTTACCTTCCAAGCCTAGAAAACAAATTAAAACCGTTTGCTTCTGATTCTTCAAGAAGTTCCATGGCAACAATTATCTTATTCGTCCATTTATTTATTTATTACCACCAATGATCCTTATGAATTCACAATGTTTAATTGAATAATGAGGATTCATGAAATTTTTTAGAGGATTCTCTGTGTAGTCAAAAAACACGACGAGATGTGCTCATTGGAGATTGAGTGAAATACAAAAAATATAATGTGGTGATTCCCCCTAGGAACAATTCAATTATTAATACAGAAATCACGTTGTATTCATGACTTTATGACGTCCTGCTATTTCCCCACAGAATCATTGAATATTGATGATATACAGTGGAAAGAATGTGCCTGGACAATATTTACTGACACTTTGTCAACCTACACCAGATAAAGGAAAAACACATTGCAAGTAATAAATAATCTTGTTGATAAGATAATGGAGAGCCACCAGTTAGAACGCGTCCACTCGTGAATATAATTAATTAGATTTTTTTCCTATAAGTGATTAATTATCACTTGGATTTTGTAACTCGACAACAATTAATATAAAAATTAGTGGAACCATTAATGAGTGGTGAAGTAACAAACGCTAATCATCACAAAACGACATTTTTTATTGAAGAAACTAATTAATTAATTATTCATTATATTAATTTCATTCAATTTTCAGTAATTATTACAGCGAAATTTTTAATATTAAGGAGTGATATTGTTAATTCCATTTGAGATCAGATCGTTCGTAAAACTTGCCGTTAATTTTGACAATTCAATACGATTAATTAATTTGTTTTTATTTTTAATTTCATTTTGGAAATTCGGATTTTAGTAAACGTTAATTTGTTTTTAATGTGAAATTTGGAGTGTTTTTTTTGTGACAGTATTGAAATGTTTCAGACCTCGTGGAGGAGTTGGTTCGGAGCATCATCCACACAGTAGTGACAGTGATGACTCCATTCCGTATCATCAAGGCCGTTACCAACGCGAGGGTCATGGCCACCCAGCTGGTGGTGGTGGTCATCCAGCCGAGGGATATGGACTACCAAAGGTTCAGGTATCAGCTCCCACAGGATCTGAGACTCCCAACATTAACGGGTAAGTCATACTTCACCAAAATTACTAATTAACATAACAATTATCATTACCCTAAAAAATTTGAACATTCTATTCAATTAGAATTAAAATCACAATTCAAACGTTTTTAATTTCAATGGTCCCGAATTGACTGGTCGAGACTATTAATTAATTTGTGATTCGTGCAAGAAATCAGATCTTTATCATTGTTTAAGAATTTATCAATTGAATTTAGTATAGAGAATTAAAACTCCGCGTTAATTAATTAAATATGAAATTTAAACACGCACCAACGCATAAATTACTCCGCCCCTACATCTTTATAAAAAATGAGGAGAAAAATTTGTAAATATAAAAAACGGGAGGGTCTCTAATTAAAAGAGTTAATTACGAGATTTTCTTGACTATTTTTTTGTTAAAACATTTTCATTAAACGGGCCAGCATGGACATTCCCGGTAAAATTAAATAAAATATTTACAAATAATAAATCAATAAATTAAGCTTGGAAAAACAAAAAGAAATGAATTAAATTTACGATTTTAAACTTTGAAAAATTGTAAAAATACGTGGATTCCTCATAAATATAAAAATTTATTTAAAACACAAACAGAAATTCTGTTTTATAAAAAATTACACAAGTGAAAACCAAAAATTCAACCCGTGAAAATCCAACATTTAGCAAGAGAAGCTGTAGAAAAATAATGTTGTTCTTTTATGGCTTGTCTACTGATTTATTGAACTCGTGATCAAGTGATAAGACGTTACCGATAAGAGTTATTTTCGAAGAACGGAGGCTTTAGATGAGTGAGCATGAAGAGTTGCGAGTGATTTGATTAGATATCGGAAGAATTGTCTGATTTACTACCCAAGAGATGAACAAATATAACAATTCATTGAAAATCTTGGACAATAGAAAAATAAAATTAAAAAATCCGTATTCAGGATCTAAATTTCATCCGTTTCGTAGTCCTGTAATTAAAAATTAATTTTATAAATGACAAATAACGTGGGAGTAATTAAAAATGCGCTAATTGAAGAAGATAATAATAATTGTATTCAAAGATTTACACAGCGCGATTTTTGAATGTACAAATTTTTTGATTCCATTTTTTATGATTTCTGCAAAATCGCGAAGTTATGACGCAAGAGATTTCAATTGGTTTGGGATTTACGGACAATTTTCGATGGAAAATTCCGTTGACCAATTACTCCACCTCTAAAACCCACAAAAAACGAAAAAACCAGTTTTCAAGGTGAGAAATCGCGTTAGTTAAGGCTAAGGAATTATAAAGGTCTTTAAACTGTCTTCGACGGCTAGAATTCCTTAGCGATATGATGATGTCTGGAAGAATGAGTTCTTTCGCCTCAATAAACGATTGATATCGCTAAAATAAATGAAGAAACGCGTCAAATTTATGACTTGTCCGATGAATTTTATCTAGTCTTTTTTCAAGTACTTGCGTCATCGAATAACGGAAAATGAAAGATTATTGTAATGTTTTCCTTATCTTCTTACTATTTATCCGACAATAATCGTAAGAGTTTGGAAACCTTTTGGATAATTTTTCTTAGCACCCAAAAATTTTTCTGTCATCAAATAAATTTGAGGACATTATTTTTATCGCAATGACTGTAAAAGAACATTCATTTAAAAATGGAAGGATGGTAGAACAATAAATTGTATTAGGGCTTTATTAGAGGTTCAGAAAAATTTAATACAATATTGTACAATCATTCAATTGAACTGGAATAATTTTGTATGAAATTGGAAGTTAATTTTGGGGTTTAGACATAAATTACGTTTATATATTGTAATTTGTACAATTAGCAATTATTTTCACTCTGATATTCAATGAAAAAGATGGCAAAATACTTTCTACTTCACGGCTACACGAATTGTTTATAATTTTTTTAATATGGAAAATATTATTCATCTCAGGATGAAACTCCAATAATGTCATTCGTCCCTCGAATAATTGTTAATTAATAACTAAACAATAATGTGAGTTTTTTTCTTACATTTTTATCTTTAATATATTTTTCACGAAAAATAAATGGTTTTTTATTTCCTTGAAAAATGGAAATTCACACTAAAAATTAGATAATTGATAACATATCACGAATTCTGAATAGAGTCATACCGATAACACGTTTGGTGAATTAAACTCCTAAGATTTACGGTCCACAGAAAAAACATAAATTTTTTAGTAAACCCCTGAGTAAAAATATTAACGAAACATGTAGAAAATTCAAGTAATCCTCTGAAATGTAAGAGCTATTAAATATCAGAATATGAAAGATAATCCTAATCACAAGAAACAGCTGCTACTGGCCCATGGATAATGATAAAACGTTGAAGACTTAAAATTATTTTTAAAACACAATTTTAAGTTATTCTATGGGATCTACTAGTGCTGGGTGTTGCTCTGACTCTGGGGTAATTTCTATTCTTGTCTGCATTAATAATAGAAATTCTCATGACCGAATAGACGATTGATAAGACAGTATTTGGTGTTTGATAAGGTCGCGAGTTATAGTGACACCTCAAACTTCAGAAGATATAAGATCTCGGTTCATTCCAGAGGCATACACACCTTGCAATTAGCTCTTGCTCCTCGGAGGTAATTAAAAACGGCAAAGGGAAACATGAGAGTGAGAAGTGGTGTCTGATATAGAGAATGTGTTTCCATGTGGCGTGTTATTGACTCACAATCAGTCGTGTGACAATTAACTACAAACAGTTGTTGGCAAAACTTTGTCGATGGTGCATTGAGTGGGCGGAATTCTACAATAAACAAGTGGAGTGATAAAAATTATTTGTTAATCCTCAAGTTAATTGACAAAAAAAATTTGTTGATTTTCCACATTTTGTTCATCAACAAAAGTGAAAGAATATATTGAGCACTAAATTATCGATATTTCGAGTTTTTCACGATTATTTATTTAAAGACTAGTTTTTCTGATATTTTTTATATTTAATATTTCTCATTTTCTTCTTTCATTTACTTTCATTAAAAAAGATTTTAATTGCGGAGTGAGTGCGAGTTTCTAATTAATAAGGGGGAGATAAAAAATATTTATAAATCTTCAGTCAATCAATCGAATCACTGAAATATCGATTCTTCTTTGTTGTCATTCATTCTGCTGCGTAAAATAATAAATATTTAAATCAATATAAATATAAAAAATATTGGAATTGATGAGGCGTGCTATTTTTTTACAAATGAACGATTAGATTTTGAGTCGATAATAATCAATTTAAAATCACAAAAGAAAATGTGGAAAGCCTCAATTTTTTTCTAAAACCCATTTTCATTTTTCTCAATTGAATTTCTTTTCACCTCTATCGCGGTATCCATTGCTTCCACGCTCTAATTTCTTCATGTCAGTGTTAATGTACGTTGAATAATCAGTGAGAAGAGACTAGTAAAATTCTTTTATCAGAGTGAAAATTACACAAATCGTTGAAAATTATGAACATGACGGATGTCTTCGGGATGAATTCCCATTTTCACTGCGATGTTCGTCGCCGATTTTCACTGCCGATGAACTCTGCTAGCAGAATTCTGAAAAAGGCTCGAGAGTCTTGGTAAGTACAAAGACAAAGAGCAAAACAGGGTAGAAAGTTAGAACTAGATTATGGTGGAAGGTCTCTATTTAGTCTAGGATAGCATGACTCTTGTTTGGAGGATTCATGTGAGCTCTCACTCAAGTTTCAAAGGTTTCCCACGTTCAATTATAAAATATAAGTGCGATATCGTGGTTAATTCGCTAAATGAACATCGAAAGTTTCATTGTATTTTTATTGAGGGTCGTCTACGGGATACCCAGGCAATATGGGACACTTGGGGAAAAGTGTTTTTAATTCGTTCCCAGTCATTTCTTTTCTTCATCAAAAAATGTTGGTGACAGTCTAAAAGTGTCCCACTGTTTTTTGCGAATTTAATTTTTTCTTATAATTATACTGTGGTTTTCTTATTCCTTTCACTTTTCAACATTCTCAAAAAATATGCCAACTACCTTGAATCGCTCATTTTTTACTTCTGATTGTGAAATTCTTTGTATGAAAATTTAACATTTTTTTTAACAGTCAAGTGTAATGAAATTCTGGACAAATTGAAATGTTGAATAATGGATTCTTACGATTAATAATTTCCCCTCTGCCATTGTACCTCCCCATTAATCTCATTGTACTCGCATTCCATTTTATCATGAGTCCCATTTTGCCTCGGCGTCCCGTTTTGTCCGGGTCTGTTTGTTTTATTAATTAAAATTCTCTTGCGGTGTAAAAAACTAGGATGTGCATTTTTTTGATAACAGGTTTCAGTGAATATCTCGCGACGGAAGACACATAACGATATTTTCATGAATATCTTTTTTGTCGCGCACACCTTTATCTACAAAACATGTTTACATAAAAAATTCCTATTTTCGTTCAATCGCGATGAAAACAGCGAAGAAAAGAAAACAAAAATTATTTACTGAAAAGAAGTACTCAATTATCTCTAGGAAACCAATATTAGACTTTACATGATAATTATATTTTTTCTAGAAGATGATTATGCTAGTTATGACCTCGAGTGAACTCTCTGGATAATTATTCAAGCGGAAAAAATAAGCGAAAATTATGAATGAAAGGAACGAAAATAAAATCATCTGAACACGATTTGATTGCAGAAATGTATAATTTTTTTAATGCGTCCATTTTTCTTAATTAAATTATTAATCAAATTATTTAAATGAATAAAAAAAGGTGGAGCAAATTATCGCGGTTTATTTTAAAAAGTAATCGACTTTTAACGAGCAATAAACAAATTTTTCCGAGTATTAACATAAAAAATAATACAAAAACACTGACTGTCATTCTTAGCACATCAAAACAACTGCGATATCTTCCCTGATTTGACACTCGTGTTGATTCCATCTCAAGGTCAATTGATATAATCAAAATGAAGATATGTGTATCACTATCGCATGTGAAACCGCATTGTCAAATTGTATTCCATGGAAAAATCAAGCA